AACACACACACACACACACACACACACACACACACACACACACACATACACACACACACACACACACACACACACGCACACAGACATAAACACACAATTCAAGTTAAAGTGCACACACTCAACACACCGACACCCGCGCACACATATGTGAGCGCACATACACGCACACACACACACACACACACACACACACACACACACACACACACACACACACACACACACGCACGCACGCACGCACACACACACACACACACACACACACACGCGCGCGCGCGCGCGCGTGCGCCTGCCTACGCACGCACACACATACACACACACACACACGCGCGCGCGCGCGTGCGCCTGCCTACGCACGCACACACACACACACACACACACACACACACACACACACACACACACACACGCACACACACGCACACACACACACGCACACACACACACACGTACGCACACACAAACCAACAAACACACACACACACACAGATGAAAGTCTTGTCCAATAGAAATCATTTCACCACTGACTTCTGAAGATTTATGTGGCAAACCGGTGCTAAAGAACTAAAAAATACCTTTAATATTTACCGGCTCACAGCAATGCAGTTTATTCAACAAATCCGGGCAAATTGCCCTTGGGACTTGTGCCGCAAACAGTCACATTCACACAAACAATACAAACTGTGATACGTGTTGAATTTTAAAGTTAAGAATTCACACCCACGTGACTTTTCTGGAAGGCCGCCTCAACAGCACGTGCACAAGGTGCGGCATTTGCCCAGGTGCGGAGACATCAATTCCGGCGTACGGCTCTAGCAAAGGAGTGAAATCGTATGCACAACCAGGGGCGTCGGACACGGTACGGTCACTACGGTATTGACCGTACCACTTTATGCCCCAGGTACCCCGTGAAGCAATGAAATGAACTGATCTGGGCTCGAATTTTCCAAATAGAATCCAAAATATTCGGTTCAGCCACCACTCCTCCACGAGTTAATTGTACAGTGAACTTGGCTAATAAGGACTGCGGATATAACGACAGAATTTCCATGCCCAGAGCAAATTCCCATCTAACTGTATACATTTCACTTAGGATACAACGACTATCTGAATAACGACAAATCGCGAATAACGACATGCTTTTAGTGCCCGAGATCATATTCACTGCTTGAATAACGACTTTCTGGGCTTTTGAAAGCTATTTCAAGTACCTGTCATGCAGAAGTACCAGAACCCATGGCGATGGATGAAGGCACACATGCAAGAAGATGCAGCCAAAGGGGAGGGGGGGGGGGGCTTTTTTTATATCTTATTTTTTATTTTGCTTCTGAATACATGCAGTTGGAGTGATCAGCACAGCTGCATTTAGTTGTACCAAGAGTCCATAACCCCCAGAGTGTGCAACTCCAGGTTGGGGTCTGGCGCAATGAAATCCAAACATTGCGTCATCCGGTCCATAGTCAAGCATGGGCGGATGGGGCCATGTGCATATCTGGTACACCCGCTACTCACTACATGACGTATGAAGTTTGGATTTCGTTGCGGCACTGATTTGTGCGGAGAAAGATCACGAGTTGCACACTCTGGGGGGTTATGGACTCTTGGTTGTACATGATTGTACAGCAATCATCATACATGTACATGTACATGTCCCTGTAGATTGGCTCCAAAGGCTAATTTTTCAATCTATTCCCCTTCCATATCGACTGTATAGTTCCTTTCAATTGTAATATGAAAATAAAGTATACATTGGCATAGAGCATGAGAAGAGCTTCATTTTGATATGCATGTCATACCATACAAAATATGGGTTCACATACATTCAAATGGGACTTCGTGTACAAGGACACTTCGCGAATGAGGACACTTTTCTGATGCCCCGCCAAATGTCGTTATACGCAAAGTTGACTGTACTTCAGATGGCTGACCGTACCTCACCAAAATACTTTCCGACGCCCATCTCAACATTGGCATCACTCACCATTGCTCTTAGTACATATGTTCAGCGGTGCTTAGGCTGGCCCGCGAACACCACCCAGCGCATTAGCACGCACTTTGTACTCCGCGTGTTCCTCGCCTCTCGTGTACGCTAACAAACGAGTACATGTGAAATCACATTTGCAACATCAGCGTTACTTACCGCCGCTATTAGTACGTATGTTGAGCGATTGCGATGCTGGCCCACGAATGCCGTCCAACACATTAGCACGCACTTCGTACACCGCGTCCTCCTCGACGCCCGCGTACGTTATATTCCCGGTGCCGTTAGCGCATCGGCGTGTGACGTCCTGGACGGCGTGAGCCGTGCTCCCCGAGACGGAGACGCGCCTGAAGTAGGCGCAACGTTCTACGCTGGCCGCCGCGGCCGTCACCTGCGCTGTGACGTTGGTTGTGGTCGCCCACAGACTTAGAACCGGCGCCTTGGGATCTGCAGGAACACACACACAGGTGACAGCGGCGTCGGATGGTATTTTACCATAGTACGATCAGCCATCTGAAGTACAATTTACTCGTGGGGGAGGGATGGCTGAGCCCAAAAATTGGAAATTTAGAGTCCAGATCAGTGTATTTTAGTGATTCACGGGGTACCTGGGGCACCGGACAGGGTACGGTCAATACCGTAGTGACCGTACCGTGTCCGGTGCCCCTGGATAACATCTCACAAGGAGTACTGTAATGCCTCAGTACTCCTTGTCTGTGTTGTGCCATTTTGTCGCACTCGCTGACTGTATATGATCCCGTTATGTTGGTGGACAGTTAGTCATAACTCGGACCGTTTTTGTCCTTCTCCTTTTATCCATAATTGCATATTGCAGTGAATGGGATTTTGGTCTTTGACCACTTTGTAGTGGGTCTGATCTACTCACCTCCCACCGTTTAGGAGCTGCATCTGTGCCTTGAAGATTAACATGACCCCGTTTATAAACGGCGGGGGGATAACAATCTAAGGACCGTGGTATTACTCCCAGCTTTCAACTTAAGGTAGCTGGAAACTAAATCAGATTTTCAAATTGGCCGGAAATGTTTGGGATGTAAAGTATGCATGTGTGTTCAGTGTGCCATGTAGAGATGAAATTGCCAAAAGTAGCTGGTTACCATCAATATTGTGGAATACTGAGCACCCCACAATTGGACATTTTCGGGATCTTTGCTCAAATTACCACTTATTTTGCTAAAGTGGACCATTATGAGAAACCGGCCCGAATATTTCCGCTTAGTTTTACACACACATGTAAGATACTAGTAACAGCAAGAAAAGTCCACCACAAAAAGTTTATGATTTCCTTTCCAGCTACCTTAAAAATGCTATTAAGCATGTTGTTTCTGTGTGTTGCATGCTGCGGTGCTAACACCCATGCATGTTGTTGTTTCGCTGGATCCTGGTTTGTCCAATCAACATAGCTCCCGGCTCATATAGGAACAGTGTTTCATATGAATTGAACATGAATATTTCCGACAACTTATTTGGCCACTAAAACCTAGGTCCTAGTTCTTGTTCACGAATTGGGACAAAAAGAATGGACCAAATGTTACGAGTTATGACCAACTGTTCACCAACGTAACCAGATCATTTCGTCCTTTCTTTTTATCCATAATTACTTTGGCTCAACATCTGACTTTAAGAATTTGGACCTTAGTCTAGTGTTCAGGTGCGCGTGCGCGCACATATATGTGTGTGAATCACTGGCTACTCTAACCTACAGCTGAGGTTTGACTTCACGCTCGCCTATATTTGCGTTGAGATCTTCTCGCAACATTGGGAACAAACCCTCATGAACATGGACCAGTTTACAGTGACACCCAGAGACAATGCTAGAATACACACACTTGTAGCCGGGAATACCTACACGTCGCGTTCTTGGTTTCGATTCTGGACGAAATGCTTCGCGGCGACGAGGCAAGCGTCAGCGTCACAGCTACATCGACGGTCGTAGAGTGTGGCAGATCGCTGAACGTGGCGTTGTTGGTTGCCGTGGAGATCACTTTTGTTCCGGCAAAGTACGTAGCAGTTATGGAGTAGTTCAGGATTTCACCGCTGGGCGCCTGGGTTCGCGCCAAGCGGACAGTGATGGATGTGTCCGTGCTATTCAGCTGCACAGTCGGAGGAAAGTCGACTGCAGGGACGAGAACGAAAACACGGACAACGGTGATCCAAACATATGTGCAATGTTTACGCGCATACACATGCACATGGACAAACACATAATTATTATGCACACAGAAGCATGTACAAATGCACAAGCACACATACACACACGCACACACACACACGAACAAACTGAAAGCCTAAGGCATCATTTGCACAATGTCCACGATCTACACAAGGGCGTTGCAAGGTTTCTGATTGTTGAATGACCTGCTTACAGAATCTCCCGGATCCTGAGTCCCACTTTAAACACTCATAGTCCCCCCCCCCCCCCCCCGCCCCAAAAATCGATGGGACTTATACTACGATGTTTTATTATTTTATTATTTTTATTCTTCTTTTACTAGGGAATTCCCAACAGGCGTCAGCGCCTTTTTACAGGGAACCCTAGGTATAATTTGATGGATGAGCGAAATTCAGCTGGTGAACTAGACATGCGGCAAGCCGGTGGAAGTGTATTCCACCTGGCAGCGCCCAAATAAGAAATTGCACTAAAGCCATATCGGGTGTTAGCGGGGGGGGGGGGGGGGGGGGCAGAACAAGAGCTGCAGAGACTTGGCCACGGGTGGTGGCTGCAGTGCGAGCACCATGGGTATGTGTGTGTGCGTGTAGATGTTAAAATGAACTGTGAGTGGTGATGCACTTACTTTTTTTCAAAAAAGTATTCCTTCTAGACCAAAGAGTGGTCTATACATGTACATAGTCAGTGGATAAAGAACTTTTCTTTATCCACTGACGGTGCTGTTCAGAACAACGAAACGTCTGGAAAAGTATCGTAAATATTTCTATCTTTATTTATCCAAAAATATATTATACTACTCTTTGGTCTAGAAAGAATACTTTTTTGATATTGCTACGAGAGTGGCTAATCAATGGCCTGTCCACCAACTCTTTGCACTTACCTTTACATGTAGAGTCACTGTGCAGTGTGAAGCCGTACTCGCACGTGCACCTCTCCTCTGCAGCACTCACGTTGCAGACGGCGTACTGCGAGCACACGTGCTCCGGGTTGCCGGGATTACACGAGGCTGCGTCGGCGCAGCCGGATCCGTTGTATGCTTGTGTGTCCGGGCACGTGCACAGACAGTATGGCTGTAGATTGCGTTCGAAGCATACGGCGTTCCTGCCGGAACAGTTGAACTCCAGACCTGTTGAGGTGGAGAGGGAAATGGGTGGATCAAACTAGGGCACTAGTAAACGTGTGTGTGTACGTGTGTGCACGTGTGTGTGTGTGTGTGTGCGTGTGTGTGCGTGTGTGTGTGCACATGTGTGAGTGTGTGTGTGTGTGTGTGTGTGTGTGTGCGTGTGTACGTGTGTGCACATGTGTGTGTATGTGTGTGTACGTGTGTGTACATGCGTGTGTATGTGTGCGTGTGCGTGCGTGTTTGTATGCGCGCGCATCTGTCTGTGTCACTGTCCACAGAGCATAGTGTAAAAGAAGCCTGTTAATCACCGAGGTACGTGCTGATACCCATTGAGGTCTAGAGGATGAGAAAAAACTTTAAACATGTCTTGACCCATAGAGGGTGGTGGCGTTCCTACGGATACGGAAAACTCGCCCTTCAGCCGAGTGTGACGCAAACCGTTTATTTAAAGGGGAAGTGCATCGATTTTTCGAGTATGGTCCAGAAGAAAGACAATTTGATATCGGTTCGAATGGCATATCTCTCTCTTCCATACGATAAGCCAAACTTGCCAAATCGCCAATTGTATACTGACGTTGCCATAGCGACCAGCGCAGTGATGACGTACGAAAGGCTTAGCTCCACCACAGAGAAGGTCGATCACTGCAGAATTTCGTCATTTTCAATTGGTTTATTGTATTCACGAAGTGAAAGAAGGGCTGTGTTCAATGCTGTAAGTGCAGTGAACTGTTTGTTAGTAGTCCTCTCGGTTGTGTACTGGGACGTGACACCGATAGGAGAAAGCTGGAGCGCGGAGACACCAGCAGACAAGCGAAAATAGTGACGAACAAAATGCTGAAATCTTGGTTGGGACAAATCAGACGTTCAGCATTTCCCCCAACCAAGGACCATGCCGTTTGCTCTTTCCACTTCCTGAAGATGAATGTGATGCTTCCTGGCGACTCTCCTATCTCTCGTAACATCTTCTGAAGCCAGGTGAGACGACGGGTGGTGAAGATTGACGAATGAAATAATGTCGTAGGTTTGAAAGTTTGCTGAAAATGTCTCAGGAGAGACGGCGAATTCCAAGCCTGGAAACCATTTCCAAGGCACAGTCAGCCTAGGGAAATGCACGAGAAGGGCGACAAATAGTTCACGGCACTAACAGCATTGACCAAAGCACTTCTTTCACATCGTGAATACAATAAGACAATTGAAAATGACCAATTTATGCAGTGATCGACCTTCTCTGTGGAGGAGCTAAGCCTTTCGTACGTCATCACTCCGCTGGTCGCTATGGCAACGTGAGCATACAATTGGCGATTTGGCAAGTTTGGCTTATCGTATGGAAGTGAGAGATATGCCATTCGAACCGATATCAAATTGTCTTTCTTCTGGACCCTACTTGAAAAATCGATGCACTTCCCCTTTAACATTCTACTCCCCATGCTAGAGTATAGAGTAGACACACACGCGTGCAGGACGCGACACACCAAAAGACAAGAGAGTGAGTTTGGAAGAATGGGAATGTCGGGCAGAGTAGCTGGCCTCAATTGAGTGCGCGTTAACGAATCGTGTGGTCGGCCTACCGAGGGCAGGAGCTGTATATGACCAAGTGGGTCGGCCTGCGCTGAGCAGGAGCGGTTTGTGACCCACGCGAGTTTGTGGGTCGGCCTGCGTTGAGCAGGAGCGGTTTATGACCCATGCGAGTTTAATAGTAGTGCGCGAGAGGCCAGTTACGGAGGAGTGCCCGCATCCATGTGTTTCAAAATATATGGAGTGGAGTGTAAGAGTAAGAAATGGGATGAGGAGGGTGGGTCAGAATTTGAAAGCTGACTGCAGGCAAGGAAACTGGAAAGACAGCAAGCTCTGTTGTGCGCACAGGAAATCTGCGCATGCGCAGAGCGTGGGCATGTGATGTCTATGATACACAGCAGTATGTAGAGAGACCAAGATCGTGCACACACGTAAGGAGGGTTATGCAACCCGTTATAAAGGCCAACAGCGAAGCAATGGTACGTGACTGTTAACAACAGTTAACTCCTACATTAACCGAACATTTAACATTCTACTCCCCATGCTAGAGTATAGAGTAGACACACACGCGTGCAGGACGCGACACACCAAAAGACAAGAGAGTGAGTTTGGAAGAATGGGAATGTCGGGCAGAGTAGCTGGCCTCAATTGAGTGCGCGTTAACGAATCGTGTGGTCGGCCTACCGAGGGCAGGAGCTGTATATGACCAAGTGGGTCGGCCTGCGCTGAGCAGGAGCGGTTTGTGACCCATGCGAGTTTGTGGGTCGGCCTGCGTTGAGCAGGAGCGGTTTATGACCCATGCGAGTTTAATAGTAGTGCGCGAGAGGCCAGTTACGGAGGAGTGCCCATGCCGACATTCCCATTAGGGCCAGAGGAGATAGCGGGTGATAACCAATATAGATGGTAAGTATGTATTGCACAAGACTCAGTGTTGTTCTCGAGGCATAAAGACAGACTGATATTGTGGAGTAGGATCGACAGAGAACGCTATCTGCATCCTAAGTGAATGTCTTTGCACTTACTCGGTGATCAGCTGGACCATGGTGTCAGGCCGCTCCGCAGCTGTAGGAGCAAAGGTCCTGAAGGCATCCATCTTGTTCCGGGACAGGGCATCAGCGATGGTATTGGAAATTCCTGGCAGGTGCGATGCTCGGATCAGGAAATTGTGCTTCACACAGATTGAGTACAGGGTGCGGATGAGTGCCATGACTGCAGGAGACCGGCTCGTGCCCGTCTTAAGGCACTCCACGACAGCTTGGTTGTCGCACTGAAACTCCACACGCAGCCGCAGCCACTCGATCCCCCATGTGGCGCAGGCCGCGACAATGGCGAAGAGCTCCTTGTAGGTAATGCTTAGTTCCAGTTGCTGCGGAGACCAGTCACCTCTGAACCAGCGACCATTGAAGAAGGCTCCAAATCCAATGGTGCCACTTGCGTCGGTTTGCAACTAGAGGTCGGCGCTGGGCATCCACTTCTCCAGCAGGAAAAATGACTTTCCGTTCCATGTTGACAGAGTCTGGTGCCACCAGCTCAGGTCGCCCTTGGCTGAGGCTGAGAGCTGCAGCATTCGGTGAGATGACATCTCAGATGTGGCCTTGTCGAGGTCATACAGGCGGCGTAAGAATGTACGGGCGGCAGGAATTGCTCTGGAAGCGAACGAGAGGTGGCCCAGGAGTGAGGCGAGTTCGCGTTTGAGAACGCAACCCTTGTCGAGGGTGGCAGAGACTAAACGACGTAGGGCCAGAAGCTTGGACTGAGGCAGACGCACTTCCAAGCGATCGGTGTCCAGTTCCAAACTGAGGAAGGTGAGGACAGTGGAAGGGCCCTCGACTTTCTCTGTGGCGACAGGTATGTTCAAGAACTGGAACAAGTCCAAGATGATGGCCTTGTGCTTGGCCGCCAGGGAGGAGCTTGGTGGGCAGATGTCGAGGAAGTCATCGAGGTAGTGCATTACGTCGGGCAAGGAGCCGACATGGACAAGGACCCAGTTGATAGCCGTTGCCAGCTGGTTGAAGATGAATGGTGAGGAGCGGAGACCAAATGGAAGGACCTTCTCGTAATAGTACATGCCGTTCCAACGGATCCCGAGAAGATGCCAGTCCGAGGGGGCGACGGGACACAGGCGAAATGCATTACGGATATCTACCTTTGTCAAGAGGGAGCCCTTGCCGAGGCGCATAATGGCGGCAATTGCGGTGTCCACGGAGTCGTAATGCAGGCTGAACTGCCCGCGTGGTATAGCATCGTTGACACTGCTGCCATCGGGAGACGACAGGTCATGTATCACACGAAGTTTTCCATTGGACTTCGGCACAACACCCAGACCAGATGTCTGCATGCACAGAAAGGGTGGCTCCGGAAATGGACCTGCTGTTTGCCCAGCTTCACAACATTCGGTCAAATAGGAAGAAACATACTGCATATTACGGATAGCCGACAGGTGATTGGGAGAACTATGAACACCAGATATAGCAGCAGAATGGCCTATCAAACTCAAAAACTCAAAAAAATATGCGCATGCGCAGAGCGTGGGCATGTGATGTCTATGATACACAGCAGTATGTAGAGAGAGCAAGATCGTGCACACACGTAAGGAGGGTTATGCAACCCGTTATAAAGGCCAACAGCGAAGCAATGGTACGTGACTGTTAACAACGGTTAACTCCTACATTAACCGAACATTTAAAAAAACATGTTTCCCTGGCAACGCAAAACCGGTAAAACAACCCAATGCACTTACTGTTCGTAGCTTCTATGAAATTCAGTGCGATCGGGTAACCGCGGAAACTTGCCACCGCTCCGCTGAAGCCGTACCGTAATGTACACGTCTGTTCAGTCAGGGTGAAGTCGCTGGCGCACGAACACACGAGACCCGCGCCAGCACCGGAACAGACGGGGAAACCCGAACAGGCGTCGCGCGGGTTTCGCGGATTGCACGTGGTGTTCGCCTGGCAGCCTCTGCCGTTGTAGAGCTGGAGCGAGGGGCAAGTGCAGACGTGCTGCGTTTGGTTTGAACCGTCGCCGCCGTCGCCACTGCCGCTGTCAACGAGGCATTGCACGTCGGCGCCGGGACAGTCGGCCAACACTGGAGCACAGAAATAGCCACGGTGCACGGCAGAGAAAACAAAATGTGCACGTGCACACACGTGTATGTGAAGTAAAGTTTGCACACCCGCGTTACCCCGACTATGCGGTTGTGTTGAGAACACACAACCAGCTGGGAGCGAAGCGAGAACACACTCGTGTGTCCCTACAAATGCACCATCACACACACACACACACACACGCACACACACACACACACACACACACACACCCATGCGCGTCCCCCCCCCCCCCCACACACACACATGTATGCACATGCACACCAAATTACCCCCCCCCCCCCTTCCCCTCGTGGCGCATATAAGCTGCTCCACAGAGTCACCACCACGACATCATCAGCCTAACCCCTATAGAGATGTCAAAGAGACGTGCTCAACAACAAGCTTACTCCGTAAGATGGCGGAGGTGATGTTGTTGTCGACTTGCGCTGCGCCGCTCTTATACGTGTTGACGAGATTGCACAAGTGTGAGTTGTTCGTCAGCCGATTGCTAAACATGTTCCTGAAAATGGTTGATGCCAAAGAAAGAGAAATATGGGAGACAGAACAAGTCTTGGATGACAGCTACATCATTGCTCAGTGTTTAGAGCATTGCTGGCCTCAAGCGAAGGTCCCTGGGTCGAGTCCTGGTGGTGGCAGGCATTTTTTTCTTCAGACTTTTCCCGTTTGCGTCTTTCCCTCAGACCAGTGAATATGGGAGGCGTTGGAGATAGGTGTGAATTCAAACTGGACATGGGACACTGCAAATCTAAAAACTCACCTAACACTGTTGACACTTACCTCGAATAATGACGGGTTCGACATGTGTGACAATGGCCAACAGTAGCAGTGATGCATGTGGTGGTGGAGGGGGGGGGGGGGCACACAAAAGCATGCACACACGCACACACACACACGAACGGACACCGACCCCTCCCCCCCCCCCAACAAACACACACACTCCATAGAAAAAACATCACCACTGCAGCATCTACAGAGTGCCACCCCAAACTAGCGATGAGAACCAATTAAACCGTTGTCCATTGTCTTACAGTTGACGAAGAGCCAGTAGATTTGAAAACACCGCAACACCAAGCTGTGACAGATCATTGTTATTCAGATAGCTGTACAGAGAGGACAACCACACGCAGAAGCTATTTTAGCCTCAAATATGCAGTACAACTCCCCCTAATCGGGGTGGATTGCGACCGAACACCGTCCCGTCCGTAACTAGGAACTGCCTGTAACCAAGGGGGTGTCGGAACCGGTGAGCCAGGTACAGCCAAAGCCGCATCAGTAATTTCATCTTGTGATTTTAATTTTTTTAGCATCACCTCCACCACTACACTGCGCTCTCAGTCTCTCTCCTGCTCAACATTTTCGTCAATGGCCAAGAGCTCTGTCGCACCCTGCCATATTGTGATTTTTGAAGCAATGAAATTAGGGGCTATTTGAGCCCAGTTTTCCAGAATTTTTCCCGCAGGAGGACCTCAGGACCCTCTACCCCCATTCATGGCCACACCAATGCCGATTATGTTCCGACACCCCCGCTGTAACTCTGAACATACATACATGTACTTACCGCACACAAGTAAACATATTTTTTACGTACATCAGTAGTCGGACACAAGAGCTTGGGCAAAAAAATGTAGTAAAAAAAGGATGGACTCGGATGGAGAGCCAAGGATAAATTTACAGAAAAGAAAAAATGATCAGGGAACTAAAAGTTACGCTATAATGTCCACTAACACCACCAGTTACTTGACAATCAGCTCATGCGATAACTTTGCACAACACTGACCGACGGTACTGACGTTCTACAACTTTGTCGGGCAATGTTATCATCGCATGAGCTGATTGTTCAGGAGCCGACAGTGATTAGTGGACATTACAGCGTAACTTGTAGTTCCTTGGTCCTTTTTCTTTTCTAAAAAAAAAAAGGATAGTTCTGAAACAGTCTCATGCACCTGATGTGGTTGTATGGTTTGAAAACATTGCAGATGTCTTCGATAGGCAGGCTTGTGCTAGACCGGAAGACAAACAAGAGGGATTGGAAGCCCAGAATCCCTCTCTAGGCTTCGTCTTCACCTAGGTCATCATGCGCTCATCAGACTTCCTTAATATTCAAAGGAAAATGCAACACAGCCTTATGATTTGAAACTCGGATGTTGAGCCATAAATAAATGTGGAAGAGAAAAGACATATGGATACGAGTTAAGAGTAACTCTCCATCACTGTAACATGATACTATATACAGTCAGAAAGTGCAATAACTAGGCACAAAACTGACAGAGTACTAAAACATTCGACGTCCCGACACCTAGCTTCAACACATCCCCGTAGCGCTAACCGACAGCCTTCCAACTTGGAAGGTTCAAGGTTATGGAAAAGACCAAAGAGGGGAAGGCAAGCGCAACGAAAACGAGCAAAAGCTACATCCGAGTTTCAAATTGCACACCTGATGAGCCGTCACGAACCATACGGCGAAACGTACGTCGTGTGAAACAACTTGTTTTGTAGTCAACTAGTCCATCACATTATCATGCATGAGGAGTACTGTAGGAGTTTGGCGTTCGGCTTGTACAATTCGTTTTCGCAAAGCTTCCCTTTCTTTACTTATCTTTGATATTTATGACCCACCCAAGTTGGGTGGTGTGCTGCTTTGCTGCTTCGAATTGTAGTTAGACCGCTTTGTCAAATATCGTACTGGTCTCGTCATCGTCCAGTAACAATCGACATTCTTTGTTCCGTTGGGACTGTAGCTTTTGCTCGTTTTCGTTGCGCTTGCCTTCCCCTCTTTGGTCTTTTCCATAACCTTGAACCTTCCAAGTTGGAAGGCTGTCGGTTAGCGCTACGGAGATGTGTTGAAGCTAGGTGTCGGGACGTCAAATGTTTCAGTACTCTGTCAGTTTTGTGCCTAGTTATTGCACTTTCTGACTGTATATAGTATCATGATGGAGAGTTACTCTTAACTCGTATCCATATGTCTTTTCTCTTCCACAGCCTTATGATTGTTAACAAAAAAGTACAAAATCCTGCCGTTGAAATCCATATTTGAATATGGTGGCCAGCTGTCTTTGAAGATATATACGGGACAAGTGCGGGATAGCGTGCCAGGCGTCAAGCCTGCAGTGTCACACGAGGCCCTACGCGGCCTACGGCACACATGCCAAATTACTTGAAGCGCTGTGGACCCTGGCGAGCGCCAGACACTACTAAAGTGAGATCTTTTGCATAGCTTGTGGAATTTTGAACAAAGCTTTGCTGTCTAAGCTCTAGATTTGCTCTCCGACCTCTATCATTTCATTCCATGCATCAATTTATTTTATTACTTGGTCCGGCTCATCGCAATTGTCGCTTATCTCCCACGCACTTTTTGACAGGTAAAACCCAGTCCAATCACGATATCTAACTTACTTTTGCTTGGGAGGTTGTAATGGCAAGATCAAATGAGGCACCAAAGAAAAATGATCGCGACTAGCGCTTTGAATCGCGATGTGTTCGACTTTTTGGGGAAGTGGAAATCTGGCCATTCACTGTCTGTGTTGCCAAAAGCCAAGCGCAGCGACCCGAAGACCGGAACTGTAGCAGGGGCAACTGACATCCTAGCCTGGAGTCAGTGGAGAGTGTGACAGGCACGCGTGCACGGCAGAGGAGTATGAGCGTCATGCTGAAGAAGAAAGTTGTTTTCGATGTGCGATGCGCGCATGTGAGGGACATTTTGGTTGTTCCTTTTGTTCCTTCGTGGACCTGGCAGCAGCATTACAATAGTCGTGGTCAGCGTATCCAGCGGAGCGTATGACAGCTGTCTGGAGAGGCCTGTATGCCTCATTCGAAGGCTCTGTTGAAACACACGGTGGTGAGACACAGGTCACACTGCCCACGGTTCCTTCAAGCACCGAAGTGACAGCCAAAACAGTTCCTTTCCCATTGCTGCCATACGACAGGCTGAGAAAGCAAGAGATACTCTACCAGTCTACGCCAGCAGCTAGACACCTGCAATTATTTTTAATGTCAGCTCATGTAACGGCGGCAGCTCAGTGATGGAGAGTAGAATGAACTCTGGCCCTGTAAGAGTGTGAGTTCAACAACGCGCTCCTTCGCTGGTTTATTTCGTGCATTTTGCTTACCTTGCTTCCCTTCTATGACTCGCTTCACCGTATTCCATGGCTGAATTTTTTTCTTGTGGCGGAGAGTATTCATGTATCATGCTTCCTCACTATGCCTATTGCGGAAAATTTTGCAGAGCGGCAACAACACTCATGTTCTTAGTGGCGATAGATAAGCGACAATTGCGATGAGCCGGACCAAGTATTTTTATTTCACTTCACCGTCTAATGGCAGAAGCCAATGCAAGGAGGGGGCGGGGCGTTAGCCATCCATGGCAAGGGAAGGAAAAAAAGAAGAAAAAAAAGAAAACATAATAATCGACGAAAAGAACACATCAGCGGGGTGAAATTTATTACTACTTGCAGCATTGATGCCGAGAAGTTTGGGCTTGTGCTGCGGTTACTCTTGCATCAACACCGCATGCCTACTCTCTCGAGTGTCTGCTCCATCTCAATTTCCTTTTGCTTTCCTCATGCATACCAGTGGGGGTGGGTGGGGGGGGGGGGGGGGATGGTCTAAGCAATACATGGCTGGGATAGCCAATGACAACTCTGCATGGCGATTGCAGGTTTTTTTTATAGCCAGCTGAGGCTAGCAAGAAACAGCAGAAGACGTTGAAAGGACAGGACACTCACAGAACTTTCAGGTTGGTGAGCTTGTCGAATATTCCGGATTGCAGCGTCTGCAGTCGGTTGTGTGATAAATATCTGCTCGCACGCACACATGCACACATACGCACAGATATACATACATGCACACGGACATGCACATACACACATACAATACACACATGCACACAAATGCATGCAAACACACACACACACGAATACACACATACACACGCACACACACACACACACACGAATACACACACCTCACCATAACATAAACGCAGGCAATGTTCTAGTCAGCCTCACGAATAGCAACCACATCAGCACATCGCCCCTACTCCCCTTTGTCTTGTTGTCCAGTGTCACTTCAGTTGTCCTCTTCCCCTGATTATTTGTAGGGCTGTGTTTGCTAGAAAAATAAAAAAAATAAAAAGTAATCTCTGGGATACCGTAAGTCTACAGATTTTCGGGCCATTAAAACTTCGGCCTCCCAGGGCTAAAACCCATTTCGACCGCATCAAATGTTCGGCCTGTACTGCTGCCGTCTGTATGCACTGTCACACTGAACCTTGCAAACAAAATATACAGTAACATCAAATAGCGAATACCAGAACAACTTTCAGAGCTGTTTAAGGTCAGGACCTTACATGGTAGCCATGCGTGCAGCCTCACAAACAAAGACAACTGGCGAATAACGGCACTTTCCTCATGAGGGTTGTTACTCGCAATACTGACTGTAGTTGAGCAGCACCAGCACCAGCAGCGGCAGTACAGTCAGACTGCGCATAACCGCACACATCTATTTTCCACAAAATTATCCGGATAGGCGAGGGAACCGGATAATCGAACACGCATGCTGTATGTATGCATGGCGTATGCTGTAAATCGGTAACCAACAATTTTTTTCCGAATGGCGAGGGATCCGGATAAAAGAGGACCGGATAAACGAGGTCTGACTGTACTGAACTTACAAATACTGTAGGGATGTCGTCGTGTCAAACACTCCGTCCGGTAAACTCTCAACGCTGTTGTTATCCAGCGACCTGCATACACAAAGAGAGATATCGAAAGAGAGAGAGAGAGAGAGAGAGAGAGAGAGAGAGAGAGAGAGAGAGTGAGAAACAGAGAGAGAGAGAAACAGAGAGAGAGAGAGAAAGAGAGAGAGAGAGAGAGAGAGAGAGAGAGAGAGAGAGAGAGAGAGAGAGAGAGAGAGAGAGAGAGAGAGAGAGAGAGAGAGAGAGAGAGAGAGAGAGAGAGAGAGAGAGAGAGAGAGAGAGAGAGAGAGAGAGAGAGAGAGAAGAGAGAGAGAGAGAGAGAGAGAGAGAGAGAGAGAGAGAGAGAGAGAGAGAGAGAGAGAGAGAGAGAGAGAGAGAGAGAGAGAGAGAGAGAGAGAGAGAGAGAGAGAGAGAGAGAGAGAGAGAGAGAGAGGATGCACAACGGTCTCAAAAATCCAAACACATCCGCAGAACAATAACCTGGGACAGTTCCAGTGATCCTCTGGTACCACAGAACCAAATGTTGTTACATGCAGCATGGTGTTTTTGCAGCCATATACCGTAGTGTCTTGCATTAGAGCCTGTCTCTTATAGAAGCCTGATTTGAATAGAAGCCTGATTTTTAAGATGCACTGGCAGTACATAAGCCTGGTTTTAGTGTTGACATGCATAGAAATACCTGTCTTGTATAGAAGCCTGTCTCATATAGAAGCCTGCAAAATTCTCCCAAAAAGTTATAATATAAGACGCGGCTTTTATACCCGACTTTATGGAGATTAGAGATTATTCTTTATTTCCACTATGGCCCATGGCCAATAAGGAAGATAATATGATTCAAATCAGTCCAGAATCATATAAAATCAGTCTAGCAAGTAAGGAAACAAACACATTGCAGGGGGATGGGGTTACGATGGGGTACATTGTGAGCTACTACAGGAGCATATGGATGATAGAATGAGGCTAGACGTCATTGATTTAAACGCATGCTTTCTATTTGTTTCACGCAGGTCGGGGGGGGGGGGTTATGGTACCCACATGGCTCTTGCTCTTTGTCTCTTATCACAATCATGAGCAGTCATGTGACACACCAGGAGATGATGTAAATCGCCCGTACACAGGCACTGGCTTTACTACCGCACTGCCTTTGTGTTATGCGCTTCAGGAGCAGCACCTGCGCTTTATCCAAGAGGGTGGTGGCGTTCCTGCGGATGCAAAAAACTCGGCTTCTAGCCGAGCCTCACGCAGACCGTGAGTTATTATTTTCTTGTTATGCGGGTGTCCTTTGACCAATCAGTAGACCCGTGCTCACAACTTTTTTCTTTCTTTTTTTACAAGACAACCACAAACCATCATGGTGCAAACGCCGGCAAAAACGCACAGAGATGCACATAGCGATGGCAGCCGAAGCAGTGGAGGCGGCGCTAGAGCAGCTCAACCGACCACTTTGCCAGCCATTCAGCCCGGCATGGCTGTGACTCCAGGCCTGTACAACGTGGACAGCGTGTGGACAGCCGTAGCCAAAAAGAGTTCTAGTCATGTGACTCACCAGTGCAGGGATTTCCTGGAGTTGGAAGGAACACGGCTCACATTATGCGACCCATTGATGTAGAAATCGGAAGAGCTGAAAGCGACATAGTTGATCTCGCAAACTATTGATGGAGGGATTGATTGAAAATTGGGACTAACATGTCCGACATCATCGGACCCTTTTGATACGGCCGAAGCCAAAATGGCCGTTCCTTACGCTCATGTGCTAGAAATGGAGCATTTACAGTTCCTTTTGTTTTTGTCAAGAATCATTGCAGGTATGTAGGAACTAATTTAACAATTGGATCCATCTGGCACTCTTGCAACTTACAGTTGAAAGAGCTGGGTGATGTTGTGGAACGATGTTGCATTCAGCGTACTGATCCTGTTCTTGCCAAGGTCCCTAGCACAGCGTGTCCGTACAGAACAAAAAGAATGAGGCACGTTTTAAAAAGGAAGTTTTCTATTAGCCGAGTCTCACTCGAACCGTGAATCTATCCTTCTCTTGACAGACGTGCTGCAGAAACTGTCAACATGTGGGTTCAGGACTAGAATGACAATAGAATTTAAGTTGCACAGCCCCATACATCTTCACAGCACTCTTCTGGGCTACGCCAATCACTAAATGAACCTCCTTCAACTTTTTGTGAGAGCTTGGACAATCCACTTGTCCAGGCAAGAAGGCAGCAATGCCTGTTCATTCTGGCGAAGTAAAAAAAATATATCCCTACCAAACAACCAACCTGAAGATGGGCCTTGCCCGAAAATTCGAATAATTTTTCTTCTACAAGTATTGCTTGGTGTAGCCCAGATAGCACCGTTTGGAGAGTGCTGTGTGAAAATGTATGGGTGCACAGTACTATTGAGCGCTGAAGAACAGAGCGCCGAAGAACAGAGCGCCGAAGAACAGAGCGCCGAAGAACGACCAGGCTAGAATTTCACCGAGCACGGCATACCGATGTATACACTGTGACTCAACTGTGCATAGACTGGTTCCCAATCTATTGTTCTTCCTCTCCTGTGACTTAAAAAATCTCAGATTTTGAGTTTTTTGCACTCCATACATAATTTTATTTTCATTATTTTTTATTGGTTTGGTGAGACTCCCACGATAGGTATCCATTTACCTCTGGAGAATCCGTAAATAAACAAAACAAGCAAACAAGCAGACTGGAATAGATGAAATAACAACGGTCCAGGCTAGGAGGCTGACCCCCTGTTTTCGCCGACACACATCACTGTAATGGATGCGGGCTACAGTGAGTGGAGTCTTCGCACTTTGAGAAAACTTGCACAGTCTTTGTAGAGAATCGTGCATGTTCACACCATCAAAGAACAATTTGTTGGTTCTAAGAATGTTCTCGTGTGACGATGTTCAGTTACATTACATGAGTAAGTAGTCACATCAGTCAGTGTTGTGCTCTCTCAGTGTTGCACCTTCTGACTACACAACATCTTACTTATAACTGTTCGTGTTGGACACAAACTACGGATAGCATCGAACACATTTCGGTCCTTTCTTCTTAATTTTTTTCTTTTTTTACTATGTTCACATACCCAGCTCGAAAATAATAAAGAAAGACAATGGTACTGAGACTAGGACAAACGTGACAACTACTGAGCATAATCTAATCCTTGGCTCTCCACCCGAGTCTCACTGAGTAGTCATAGGATTAGGTAAGCAGACAGTGCACGAAGCCCATCGGTATTAGACGGGTGTGTGTCTCTTATTCGAAGTGGCGTGTTTACATTGCAAAAAGTGCCAAGCGCTACACACGCATGTGAGCAGACACACTCATGCATGCATCCACTCCCACGCACGGCTTGCTGCTTACAAATGCCCAACACTTAAGCAACGATAGCAAACAAGCTATGTTAGACATAGCAACGTGTGCTAGGATTTCACCATTGAACGGCTTGCATGGCTGATGCATTCACGATCACTATTTTTTAGCCTGCATACGTGCGCACGCACACGCACACACACACACACACACACACACACACACACACACACACACACACACACACCACCACCACCATGCACTGGCACTATCCCCCCGGAAAATGCTCACTTTTTTGTAATCCTCAGCACACGCCGTCAAAACCAGGGAGTCAGAAAATACCGGTATTTTACGACTCCCTGGTCAAAACCATATTTTCGAAATGCCATGGCAAGAATCGCTCTCTACAATATCTTCATCTTCATCACTGTCATCCGAAACACACTCAATAAGAGACTGGCTCGAGTCTGCCATGGTAAACAATTCATAAACTACTCAACAAGAAGCTAACCCACGGAATGCGGAACGTTCTTGTTTGGGAAGTTTTCTTCTCTCAATTTTGATACACAACGGCCAAGTGCTCCGTTTCCCCCAAAATGCTGCATCACAAGCCGAAAGTGCTGGGTTCGCGGATTGTACCGAAAATGCTCAAAAAAATGCCGACATATTACGCGGGGGCCTACACAGAAATGTACGCACACGCGTGCATACCCATACACACACACACACACACACACACACAAACACACACGCACACACACACACACACACACACACACACACACACACACACACACAAACACACACGCACACACACACACACAAACATAGTAAAAAAATATAAAATAAAAACACACACACACCCTCACACCTTCACCCGACATACACACAGAACTAGGCAGGCAACACCGTATACTAGTAACTGAGAGCATACAGCACGGTTGTTTCCACGGGCAGGTTGTCCGGTACCACATTCAGCTGCCGATCATAGCAATTGACAGTCTGAGGCCACCTACAGGTGCACCCACTTGGACATGCTATTGCGTAATGTTGCGCAACAGTAGAGAGGAGCAGCCACATGATACACGTCTGTGCCTGAAGAAAAAAAGAAAGAACAATTATTTTTGATTTGATGGAGAGTTACTCTCAACTCGTATCTATATTTCCTTTTCCTTTTTACATTTATTATTGGCTCAACATCCGAGTTTCAAAAAAAGAACAGATCAGAAATGGCACGTCAATGAGATAGGGAGGAGGAGTCCCTTGAAGTCTGATTCGAACAGAACCAGACTCCAGTCTCATCCCCACTGTTGCTATGCACATTCGGCAGTCGCTCTATTTCTCAGTTTCCGGCGACGGGCCGATGGTATGCGCTTGCAAGCTGCGTCTTTTCCAGGGCTTGGTCGGCCAGGTCAGTAATCAAGGCAGGGCAAGGTGGGGGAGGGGAGGGGAGGTACTTGTCCCCTTTGGACAATTACCTCTGGGTTACTTGTGACCCAGTTTTGGGGATATATTGGGCGCTTTCGATTACTCGCATTTCGGTCAATTCTAGAATTAGTTATTGTCGTTAGAATTGATTTCATCCAATTCCGTCGAATCCGTCAATTCTGAAGAGAGGGCGGAATTTCTCTAATTCTGGCGCCAGAATTGCACAGTCGGTGTGTTACCGGTCGGTCTGGTCATGACTCAAGCGCGCGAAGAGTCTCCCTGGCCGGCATGTGTGCGATGCTGGGTCCACGTGCGCGCGAGGGTGTCGTGATCTCTTTTTACGATTCATCAATTTTGTTTGTGACATGAACAAAATGCGTTGTGAATTCCAGTCGTTCGTTTACAAGGCCGGAATCCGCTCATTCTGGTCATTAAAAAAACCAGTTGCAGAATTGTGTAAACGTGTAATCGAAAGCGCCCATTGACTACTTTTCTTTGCACTTCAAGGAAATGGGGGAGTGTGTGTGTGTGTGGGTGGGGGGGGGGGGGGGTGGAGGGAGTACTGCACCCACTGACACCTTGACAGTAGGGAGTCTTGAAACATTTGGTATTTGATGACCCCCTGGTTGACAGGCTGCAGACAGCCGCAGACAGAGTTCCCAGTGCGAATTTTTTACACATGTAAAACTGGGAGTAATTTTTAGAAAAGGAAAAGGACCAAGGAACTACAAGCTTCGCTAAAATGCCCACTATAAACACCAGAAGTTGCTAAACAATCAGCTCATGCGATAACATTGCACGACACTGACCGACGGTACTGACGTTCTACAACTGGCTAGCAGCTCTGGCACGTCTTGGATGCGCACTCCAACCCGCCTTCCAACTTGGGAGGTTCTAAGTTATAGAAATAACATAAGGGGGGGGGGGGGGGTATCCGAGTCCATTCCAAAACAGAGAGTCGTAAAAATATTACTATACGACTCCCTGTTTTCCCATGATCACCTAGTGCGTGAAATCAGAAGCACTACACTTTTTTTCATCCCCTTGTTCTTGTTGGAACTAGCCCTGCCTTTCGGTATTGAACTCTTTTTTGGACAGCCTGAAACCTCTGTTTTACGGCTCCATGATGTACGTACAGGAGTCGCACGTGAACGCACCCGGCTCTGACCTGGCCTGCGAGAGTTGTGCCAGGTACCCGTATCTACCCTGTTGGCTTGAAATCCCAGAGCAGACACTCTTTCCAGCTGCATGCATGACTGTCGACAGGCCCAGTCTCTTGCACTGCTCATCGACATTGTTTAAAAACTTCACCCAGTGCTCAAAGAACGCTCTTCCTCCAAACTGTCGTCATCAAGCACAATCTGCTGGTACTCAGTTTGCTCACCTCACAAAGATTCACCTAGGGTTCCCTGTAACAAGGCCATGCCTGTTGGGACTCCCCTAGTCAAACGAGAGAGCTTGGAAGCTCAGGTCCCTGCGCTATGCTTTGTTGCCTAGCTCATCGTGCATGTTGTTAGAACTGATGGAAATGCTTTTTCCATTGATTAGCTACATCATTGTATTGCAAAAACGTTTCAATGAGATACTGAAGTAACGTCTTCTGCATAGCTATGGGACCGGCGATGACTCTGCCGATCACGGGCGTTCTGGAGTCGACGGGATGTCTGTCCTGACGTTTCCTGTGACCGGCGCTGACTCTGCCGATCACGGGCGTTCTTCTTCTTCTTATTATTATACTGACGGCAACTAACATCCATTCTGATTGCATTTACTCGTCTCCCTACTTCGTATTTCTTTCCAGAAAATCTCCCCATACAGCAGAGAGTCGTTTACATAATATGGCTCCCTGCTATACATCTACATGACTGTATATACGTTATAATTATTATGCTATCGGCCTACATGCGATTCCCGGGCTGGTCGACAGGCGGCCCAGCCAGCCTGCTAGTGGGATCTCGGCCTCGCACACAAATCCACACAAAATGTTACTGCACTGAATGCATTCTCCCCGATACACTTCGCATATATACTCATTCTCTTGATGGTACCGTACTCTTGATGGTACGGGACAGGTACAGGATAGCGCCAGGCATGTCGATGGCACAAACAAACAAAAATATTGTGGCCAGCTGTCTTTGCTGGTACGGTACAGTACGGGACAGATACGGGATAGCGCCAGGCGTGACACAAACAAACAAACACCAAATTAAAGCTGTGTGGACCCTGGCTAGCGCCAGACGTTACTGAAGTAACGTCTTCTGCATAGCTACGGGAATAATAAATACTACTACTACTACTACTAAAAGGAAACAATGGAATGATGTAGCCAGTTGGGACTCCCCTGGTGAAAGCACTATTTTCTGTGGGTTTTTGTTTCTGTGGAGTGATCGCCGGTTCCGACTCCCCTGCAAGGCATGCGCTAAGGATTAAAATGTGCTCAGACACAATGTCCTGCCAGTTGCAAAAATGGCCGGACATGTCCGGAAATGCAAATTTTCACATCAAATCGCACAGTGTTCAGTGTAGAATTAATACCATCAAAATGTTATCATGATGTGAAAAGAGTCCGACCTTGGCTGCTGCTGCGTCGTCAAGTTTGCACAAGGCTCGAGCGATTGGCGCATACTCTATTGGGTTTCCGCTTGACTCACGGCTCCTTGCCAAACAATGCCATGGCATGGCGATGCATTTCAGAAGCAGCATGATCTTTGTAGGCTGATGTTTTCAGGTGCCTTGAGCCAACGACGAAGGAGTCAGAAAAATTCTTGATACTGCAAATTTTATCAGCAAAACGGGAACACATCTTACACTTCAAATTTTCGACAACGCTACGATCTGAGGGACTGCGCTCATACTCATAGCTCAGCCAAACAGAAGTAAATTGAAAGCTCCCTATCATACTCAGCAACCCACTTGTCACAAGTGGTCGTCTTGACTGCTCTGGGCTTCTTTCCAAGCTGAGCACCCGGAGTCAGCCGTGCTTGGCTTTCTCTTGCCAGACGACATCACTAATGACTATGAGACAAAGGATTGACGTGCCTTTTCTTTTTTGTACTTTGCAAAAAAAGTGTGCGGACACTTTGTCCGGATGTGTACAAAAACATCCGGAAACTGACCGTAAACGGTCGGAAATTGTCCGATGTCCGACCGTTATTTCGCGCCCTGCCCTGTCTAGAGTAATACCGGATTGTACGGGCAGAAAAACGGCAGAATGTGGCATTTTGTCTGGTGCGTTGCAAGTATTTTTGGTGTCCGGAAAAAGAAAGGGAACGAAGAATTCGAGGAACTTCTTGCCATAATCGTTGTAGGGCTCTACGAATTTCAATGCTTTTCGATCAGAATCTTAGCATTACTGGTACTTGACTAGCCAAGGTCTTCTCCCAGCCACTCACAGGAAGATACATCATGTAAAGTAGACTGTTCCATGAGGGCATGCCATGAGGGCCTGCCATGAGGGCCTGCCACCATAATACGAAAAGAAGAAAATAACCCCGTTACAGTTTTCTTCCATTTCTCCTTTATATATTTTTTGAGAACCGGAGGAGTTCGCGAGCACCTTTCGCACCCCCTGGATCCGCTTCTGATCATTGTCTCGACATAACAGCTGCATGTTTGCGGCACAGGGGTGGGGGAGAAGAGGAGAGAGCAGATGCAAAGAACAAGAAAGGGATGAGTAATGAACCACTGTACGACTGTAGTTTGCTGTAAACACTGGCTGGACCAAACTATGAAATCGCCCATACAGTTCTGGCTAGAGAAATTCGATCTTATGCAGTTATGGACAGTAACTATGGGATCAAGTGTGGAAGGTAGTGTTTGTGATGCTGGGACTGCATAGTGCCAGAAGTGATCTTTTTCACGAGGTCGAGTTTCTCTGGCCATGCAGGAATGCGTTAGGTAGATCTAGGAAGTTTACTAAACCAACCAAACCAACCAAACTGCGTGCGATGAATGAATGAATGAATGAACCCAGCGCCCAGCCACGGAACTACTTTACTTTAGTAGTCTTACCCAGTGCATAGCTGTTCGAGGGCCCATCCTGTCCACTGCCAGAGGGCTCGCTTGCCTGAGCATCCGGTGCACGGAACACCAGCTCCTGCGGTCCTGGACGAATCGAGCCGCACAGGGACCTCAAGCAGGTGAACAGCGGGGCTACTGGTGTATAATATTATAATTATTTCCAGTTCAGCTAGCAGCGCGCAGGCTAATCTTCCGCGGCAAGTCGCAAGTAGTTCACTAGTAGTTGTCTTGGCACGGAGCGGCTGCAAGAACGCCTGCTTCTTCGCCGCGGGCCAGGTCAGGTCTGGGTTGGTTTATTATTGTTTTCCAAGCGTATACGCATCCGAAGCAAGGGCAAGAAAGGTACTGTACTGCACTGTACTTGAACGAACTCAAGTCTCCAAGGTTTGGCTTGCATCTTCCATCTTGGGCAGAGGATCATTATTCGGCAGAGCACGAATGTAAACGACGTCAAGCGAATGGGTAGCGGCCAGTCATGTTTGGCGATATTGGGCGAAAACGAGATGTTTGCGATGATTGGGTAGCTACCTGTTTTAGTGTTTAGATCTATGCCAGCTGCTATTGTCAAATACAGCGCGGGCGGCGCTAAAAATAGTAGCTGTAGACCTACTTTCAACTGCCCTTGTCACCTTTTTTAGGCTTTACATCAGGGATTCTACTGTCACTACATACCTGGCTGGGCTAGGCTAATAGTAATACTAATAAAAACGTGGACCAGCTAGCTCCTGCTTGACCCTGCCGGACTCGTGCAGCCGAGTATCAAAATGCATGAGGTGCGTGATAGCGCATGCATTTACTGACTAAGTACAGTCGGACTCTGCACAGACTCGGCCACATACAGTGAAACCTGTCTAAGGCGACCGACCCCTCAAGGGACGAGAAAAAGTGGTCGCCGTGGCCAGGTGGTCTTCTTACCCAGGTTCAGTGGGTCACGTGACCATATTATCCACATGTGATACATCATTAATGATCAGTGCAGCACACACCTAAGTCACTGACCTATGCTAGTCTAGCACGACTCATGTGCCTGGGCCATGGGGTCCTCAGGCCTGTCAAATCATTGAAATGTCGTGCATGCACCATGTACATCTACACTTCCTGCACTGATGTGTAGATCTACCATGCCTGGTGCACCATGCAATGCATACATTTACATGACTAGCACTGTACAAAGCGGTCGCGGGTGGGTGGTCGCCGGTCGCGTTGAGCGAGTGGTCGCCTTATCCGAGGTGTTTTGAATGTGAATGCGTCCGTGACAAGGAAAAGTGGTCGCCATGGTCGAGTGGTCGCCATATCCGAGTGGTCGCCATTACAGGTTTTACTGTACATTGATACAGACTCAGTGCGTGCCCAGTCTGATCGTTTCACAAAAATAATTCATGAGCATAGACCTACGTAGATCTACGTATACTTCGAAGTCCGAGCACCTGCCAAGTATCCCGATTTCACGAAACCCCGAGGAAAATCCAGGGTTTTGGCTCCGGAAAGCCATCATGCACCTCATGCATACATAATACCTGGCAAGTACTGAAGTGTACTTGGCAGGTATACATTAGGTGCATGATTGCTTTGCAGTGCGTGTATGCATAATTTCTACTTACTCAAGAGTCCACCAGGACCACGGTGGGTACGAAAATACTAGTGGTATAAATGACTCAGTCGGCGATAAGTTTATAGGAAAGCTGGTTGCTCCTCGCACTGAAGGTTGTGCTCTGCCGCCAGCTTGAATGACACGTGACCGACTTACGCCTGCCATCCAGAGCACACAAGAAGTCCTTCGAACCTTCGTTTCGGCACACCTGCAGCAAGAAAGCACCACTCCCTGCTCAGTACACAGTGTTTCGGGGGAATTCACTCCTCATCAGTTGAGCTTGAGTGGGCTGAGGAAGAGTCAACTGAACTACTGTCATACTGATTGTGTCTGAAGAGTACCACTTACACGTGATGCTCTCCATGCCAAACCATCACCAGGAATACAAACTTCCAGAGACTCTCCGTTTCCAGCGCGACAAACGCCTAGCATCGTGAACACCAGATGGCAGCGCGAGTCAGTGTTGCTCATGGATAGGTTAACCAGACCTTGACTCCGAAGTTTGCAGTTTCATTCGCAACGTTGTCACCTCCAAGCCAGCTAGTCGCCAGGCCGCGCTGGCCACAGCAGTATGAATCAATGGAAGCGGCTTGGGGCGATAATTTTATAGGAAAGGTTGTTCCACGCAGAGCTCACTGACTTGTCAGTTTGAGCACTCTGGCACGCCAGTCCACAAAGGACGACCGTAATTGACCTACCTTTCAAGTGCACTATGGAACCTCCTGCTGTCAAGTGCGGTCGTAACCTTGCAAGGATCGATATGAACCAATTCGCTCATGACTTGCATCATTGTGACCTGGAGAATTTTTCAACCGCTCAGACTGTGGATGCCATGTGGTATTCTTGGACTGACAAGATTGTTTCCGTTTTGGACGAGCACGCTCCTGTCCGAACGTATCGGCCTAAATCTTCCTCCCGCACGCCCTGTCCTTGGAAATTACCTGCCCTCCACGACGCTATTCTACTTCGCAACGCAGCACATCGTCGCTGGCGAGCCTCGCCGACTGACATGGATCTACGAACTGTATTCACATCAGCACGAGCCGAGGCTAAGCGAATGTCCCGACGCCTCAGGGCCCAGTATTACAAGAATCTTCTCACACGGAGTCAGGCAAATGCGCGCCTCACTTGGAAGACAATAAACGAGCTCAGCGGCCGGACCAAAACTCCCACTCCACCCTCTGTCAGTATAGCAGCACTCAGCGAGCAATTCAGTGGAGTAGTCTCCGATCCAAGTAGACCTGTGCAGCTATCCTTACCTTGTGGTCCGTCACCACGGGAACCTTTGCGGGAATTCCAGGCCACTAGTGTTGAGGAGGTATTCACCTTTCTCGTGAGACTCGATGCTCGTAAAGCTGAGGGCAGCGACAGTATTCCGGCATTCATCCTGAAGCATTGTGCAGCAGCCCTCGCCCCGTCGCTATCCATATTAATTAATGCATCCCTTTCGTCTGGCATTGTGCCCGTCTCCCTGAAGATTGCAAATGTTCGACCCCTATTTAAGTCTGGTGACAAGAACGCATCTCGCAATTACCGTCCCATATCTTTGCTGCCAATAGCATCGAAGATCTTGGAGAAGATAGTCCACAAACGCCTGTGTGACTTCTTACAAACCCATTCACTTTTGCCCGCCAATCAGTTTGCGTACCGGCCACAACACTCCACGGAAGATGCCTTGACCTTGGCCATGGACAGTAGTAAGTGCGGGGCGGGTTCTGGCCCACTTTTTGACCTTTGACCTTTGGGCCAAATAAGGCACACTGTGTCGGTCGTGCTTGGTCTGGCCCCGGGACTCCCCCAGGGTTTGACCTTTGACCTTTGGGTTGAATAAGGCACACTGTATCGGGCGCGCTTGGTCTGGCCTCGGGACCTCCTAGGGTTTGACCTTTGGCCCTGCCATGTCATAAATGTCATCATGTTCTTTTCCGTGGCGACCGTGCACTTGTGCACGTTCGGTGCATTCGCACCGGGGAGTAGTAAAATACGTACTACTCCCTGATTTGCACATCGTAGATGTGCAGTGACATATTGCGCATGCGCGCATAAGCACGCGGAGCGTGCGACCTTCAGTGGCCCTGCGGAAAAGACGTATACACAAGGTGGACTAGTACACGTGTCATTATACTAATCCCTGATTCGCACTTCGTAGATGTGCAGCAACAAGTTCACTTTCCTTGCATTCGTTTTATTCGCACATCGTAGATGTGCACTGACAAGTTGCCCTTACTTAGCGTGCGACTTTCAGTCCCTGACCCTGCATGCACTATCCATGCATTATAATGCTGGTGTTGTTGTTGGTTGTTGTTGGTTGTTGTTGGTTGTTGTTGGTTGTTGTTGTTGGTTGTTGTTGGTTGTTGTTGGTTGTTGTTGGTTGTTGTTGGTTGTTGTTGGTTGTTGTTGGTTGTTGTTGGTTGTTGTTGGCTGTTGTTGGTTGTTGTTGGTTGTTGTTGTCGGATGTTGTCGGTTGTTGTCGGTTGTTGTTGGTTGTTGTTGTCGGTTGTTGTCGTTATTGTGTATTGTGTTTTAATCGTTATTTTGTTCATTATCCAGGAGGATTTTGCTATGATCCAGTACCATTTTTTCGCATATATGACACAAGTGTGTGTAACCTTAGTGTGTCGTGGGGTATGCTGATTGGATGTGAGGTGACGAGAGTATGCTGATTGGTCGATAACAATTAGTGGAAGGGATAAAGTAATGCGTCAGGATCATTACAGTTGCATTTGGCACCATGGAGTTTCAGGAGGAAGTTGAATTTTGTGATGGGTGTAACCATGAAGAAATAGAAACGGAAGAAGCTGTCGTTTGCATGAAATGTGGTCTAGTCTTGGGCTCTTTGTTTGCGCCAGAGGCAAATGTAGCAGAGCGTGTAATGCTGCCCAGTAAGCCTTACACAGATGTGCAGCGACTGGAATCAGTGGATAAAAGTCTGGGGGCTTTTATCGAGAAGGTGGGAGTGTGTAAGCCGCTATACCCATCGCTTTTTGAAACTCGGCAACGCCTCTACGCTATGAAGAAGGGCAGTGAGTATAGAGCTCTGAATTATGCCATCGCCCTGTCATGCATTTACTATGAAGATGAAGAGATGGTGCAGATACTCAGTCTTCATCTCCCCAGAAGCAAAGATGCATGGATGAGAAATGCTTCCCTATTCAAGACTTCCCCAGTGTTCTTCAAAATGTGGATGAAGGTCATAACCCCAAAGAAACTACGTAAGGCTCACTTTGAACGGTTTATTGAGAGGACGGTGGATATGACAGAGCAAGAAGAACAGCTAATGATTGAACTCATCCAACATTATGGAGTTGAACCGAAGCTACCACTTGCTGCCTCACTGGCTTATGATGACTATCCAGATGCATTGATCTATATACTATCCACCATTGTGCAGGCATTCTAAACTGATTTAAGGTGCACGTATCATCACTTGCTTGGAGAATATTGTTCTTTATGAATCATACAGTCAATTTCAACCGTAATCAAACCATCCATTGCATGAATTCGTTGAATTGAAAAGAAAGGAAACATTTCTATAATCTCACTCTGGTTTTTCGTATTATGGAAAAAGTATTGGAAGACTCTTTGCACTGTGGCCCCGAGGACCTCTGGGCCCCGGCGGTCCCACGTCACCCTGAGGGCCTGGCGATCCTTCAGGTCCTTGGGGCCCTATGTTTCCTGGGGGTCCTTGCGGCCCTGTAGCACCTATGTGTCCTGATGGCCCTTGGGGTCCTTGCAGTCCTGTGTGGCCCCTTAAACCTTGCAATCCAGATTCCCCAGTCGGGCCAGGACTTCCTTTTGGTCCAGGAACCCCTGGTCTTCCTCGATGTCCTTTAAGTGATCCGAATGCAGTCCAACCCGCAATGAGTTTTTTATATACAACGAGGGTGGTAGCATCCAAATAGAAGTCACCCTGTCTGCCGATGGGTGGCGACGGAGGGTCTGCTCCGCTATACCAACCAAATCCTGGATCACCTTTAGGACCTTTCATTTTGCGGATTTGGGCTAATTCCTTCTTCACCCACCCAGCAGGTACAGCACAGGTGT